TATACATATCCATATATATATAGGGTACAATTCTATCGGAGGTTGGACCTCTCTTCTTATCAAGTGCTTGTTTCTCTCTATCACTATTCTTCAGTTTCCTCTCAGGTACGCCCACTTTGATAAGACTGTGAATACGTCATCAACTATAGATTTTGTATGTCATGATCGTTTTAATTGCCCATAAATCATTTTTATCAGAACCAATAGCTCAATCAATATGCAAGTTGAATGCTAATCTTCAGCTTTACTCTGCTTGCGAGCGCCATTTGTAATTAGTTTGCTAGTCGCGACTTATCAATTGAATGAAACCTGCGACCTTCACAAGCAATTCGAGTTAGACGCTCATTAATAAAAAATAGACTCGTAAAGCGACATGTACTTCGCTGTAATGATTGTTATCTTTATAAAATTATATAAAATCTGTAATCTGAAAAGTATATATATGTATATTTTAAACTCATCGTTCATCAAGAAAGATTGTCAAAAGTAAATTTCAATATTTATGAACGAGAGCGGACTTATCTGTTATCTATTTAAGACACAAAAATGCTAATTTGCATTTGCTTTAAAGTAAACGTTTATTAACTAAGAATAAAAGCAAGGCCTGGAACTGTCAATCAGCTTGTGTTAATATTTAGATTAGATAAAAATGATTAAATATAGTGTTGGTCATTACTGTCGCTGAGTTGATTGAAAAGCCGTTGGTAGGTCGAGTGACGAAGCTGTCAGCTTCTGTCGGTTGCCATCAGTGGACACAGCGTTGCAACTTGCAAAGCAATCGAATACAAAAATTTATTAGTATTGGAAAGGAACACCCTATGCTGAAAATTTCCTTTTTATTTATATGAGTTGATTTTCGCCGAAGTCTGTGGAGAGCCGGGAACGCGTACACAACATAGGCGCCGCTAACGCGCGTGTATCAGAATCCATATATAACACATCTACATAAAACCCTAACCAGCTTATCAACTGCTATCGACAAATATATGTGGAATTTTAAATCAAAGCAACTTAGATCGACGCAATGTGTAATTCATAGTAATCCCTCTATGCATTAATTTGCGGAGTAGTGTTCCAATAGCCTGGCTTCTGTGTGAAAAATAATAGTTTGTTTATGTGCTGCTATGTGTATTTGTGAGCGTGCGCTGTACAATACATACATACGTGTAGATGTATACAGCTTCGGTTCTCTGTTTGTGTCAGACTGCATTGAACTTAGCTAGTAGCTCGTAGAGTGCTAAAAATCGATGCAAAATTAGTTATAAAATAAAAGAAAGTAGCATAACAATTTGAATTTATTATTTACATTTTAATACATCATGCACATTGCAATATGCAATACAAAAAAATAATATCTATCAATATATTAAGACCTTCATCACCAAAATTATGTACCCCATAATATCAGGAACATAAACCTACCTAAATTGTAAAACATTCGACCAATTATTGTTTTTAGTCAGTTTAGGGCAAAGGGGTAAATTAAAAAGCCGTTAGAAGAGTGAGTGTCGCAACAGCGAGTCCGTGTCTGTTAGCGATGCGTACCCAACAGAGTTGCTAACGATACTATCGAAAAGAGACAAACGCGACGACATCAAACAACTTTAGAGAGCATAAAAACATTTGTGGAAAATTTCCCATGCTGTCGAGAGTTTTCCTCCAAAGTGTGTAGAGAACCGGGAACGTGTGAACAACATAACGGCAGCCAACGCGCGCGTGTAAAACAACACACACACATACATATACAGCAAGTAACCAAACACATGGGAACCTTATCAATTGGCAGTGAAAGTAAACATCAAAACAAAAGACACCTTATTGAACGCCGGAGAGAGGTGCTGCAATCGGCCAGTACACTTAATTGATAGCAAAAGCCCTATGCTAATTTGATAAGTGTGTCATTGTGGTACATATAGCTCATGCGAGCTGGGCAGAAAATAATTTTTTTACTCATCAGACAATAATAATGTAAATTGAAGCAAGAAGAAAAAGAAATTCCTCCATATTTCGGCTCATTTCCTCTCGTGAGCGTGCGCTGCTGTGTATAGCTACCTATGTGTGTGCGTGTGTGTCCCGCTTTTAACTCTGTATTTGTGTCAGTCAGCGTCCTGAATGCAAACACTTTAAGGCAATGCTAAAGCCGTAGTAATCACAAAAGAAAAATTTAAATTTATTTGTTATCGACAATTTCAGAGCTTCAATTCAATTGGAAAACATGAGATTTCACGAGTCCTAGACAACCTACATAAGCAAACCATAATAATTGCATACGACCGATTAAAGGCTTAATACAAACGCGCGCTAGTCTTCGTCACGCATGTAATATACGCCACAGAAACACACACCAGCACAACACAACGGTCTGACGCGCTCTATGAAAATTCTCCCCTCGAACTTATCATTAGTGTGCAGTGAAAACTCCGATAGACAATTCAGTTTGAGTTAACAGTGCAGCACCCATTCCATACCAGCAGCAAAATAAACAGTTCTAAAAGAATTATAATAACCAATAACCCAAACCACAAGAGAAACGATTCTCACAGGCAAGCATCAAAATGGCAACAGACTTTTTGTTTCCGAAAATAGCGGATTGCTCCTATGTATCCTGTTACTGGTTAGTAGAGTTCTTATTTAACGGCATTAGCTTAACAATGATAATGAAAATCGGAAATACACAACATATTAAATATCATACAAATAACTATAAATTAAACCTTTAATTTAGTTTATTGTTTAGATTATGAAACTTACATATCTGAGAATTCGCATGCTGTTTGAGCACTTATTATTTATTACTTGTTTCGTGCTTTATACTCGTTGATGTTCCTTGCATCGCATTTTAATTCACTCATTACTCAGCTCCACCTCCCACGAAGCTCCTTTTGGCAGGGGATTCTTCCTGTCGCGCCGCCACGCAGCACTGAAATTAGGTCAAACGGTCATGTCTGCTAACAAGACCAGTGTGTGAGGGTTGCGTGGTATTGACTTGGCCGCACTGAGGGATTTTATTATCGCATGTTAAAAGCGTGTTTAAACCATACAACGACTAAAAGCAACAGCACAAAATTCTACATTCGAAACTGTGTATAAGCACACAATTAAAAACTTAGTACATTCTTATATACAAATGTACATATTAGTATATATCAATAGAAATATATAAAGCCGAAACTACATCGAAAAATATGATACACTTATGCTTACTATAGTAGTTCAATGTATAAACTATACAACAAGCTAAGAAATGTAACGGCAGAAGTGAATTTAGTAAATAATTTAATGGCGAGGTTATATTTCATATATTTATTTAGCCTAAAACATATAAACTAACGGTGCATTATCAATTTTGTACTTCTGATGTGGGCGATTGCGATAAAAACAATAAATATTTGTGGTTTCATTCGCTTACCTTCTCTCTATTTCTCTGTCATGCGCTCTGCTTCTCTCTCTCTCTCTCTCTCAGTCGCTCATTTGTTCTCTTTTCAAGTCGTCAGCTCTCTAGCGTTCTCTTTCTGTCTCTCTTTTTTTTTTTTTTTTTTTCTTCCATTATTTTTCCCTGAAGCTTTCTCTCTGCATCTATATTAGCTACGAGCCATCTGTTGGCAACATCTAAACTTGTGAAGCTCTTAAAATGTGCTTTCGTAAGATTTGTATATTATTTACCTACTCACTAGATCCTCTACACCTTCGCATATTAAATATCTATACACTTGTATGCAAAATCAAAAATGATGGTGTGTTATGTCTAGTTAAGTTTTTCGTTAGACAGATAAGAAAGTTTTAAATAAATCTGGATGGCCGGTGCAGACGAAGAGATAATTTATAATTGAAAATGTTTTATTTAATTTTAGTGAGGAAAACGTTTGGAAATTATGTGAACAGGTGCAGCGCACGCGCCCTGAGGAGTTAAGCAAGTGCTATGCTGTTTTCGTCTCAAATGAGGGCAGAACTGTACCGCTATGGCGACAAAAAGCTGGACGTGGTGATGATCAAGTTGTGATATGGGTAAGATGCACCGCAAAATACAGCGTAAAAATAATACGAAATGTATCCTTTGCGAACAGGACTATCATGTATTCTTTATGCATAATCCCTTGCCAAACCGCTGTTTGGTATATGACTTGGATACTACACTCCCGTTTCCAACATATTTTCATAAGTACGTTACTGAAACTTTTCGGTCAGATCTCGCACTACGACCTGAGCATCACAGGTAGGTATTCCATAATACAAAAGCATGATAAAAGTCTAAGTTTCTTATATTTCCAGATTTTTCAGAGTCATACCTGCTGATACATATCTAATTGAATTCTCATCGGATCGTCGGCACATGCGCCGACCAGATGGTAGCTGGATTAAGCCGCCGCCATCATATCCACCCATCCTATCGAATAGTAAAAACTAATCTACATACAGCTACAAGCTACAGCTAATGATGTATTGTGTTTTTCAGCTAACATGCATTGTTTGGGCGACTTTATTTGCATGAGCGCTGGCAAAGGACCCGGCGCCGTCTACAGCCTCTCCGAGTTTGTGCAATACTTTTATAAGTCACCGCACGTTGTGGCACAACACAACAAATAAATTATCAATTATCACACAAATACATTTACTGATATCAGCTTAAACCAAAATCGAAATTAATTTAAAAAGTTTGTGCTCTTGCAAAACTTGCCGACAACACAACAGATGTGCATTATACCAAAAGACAATTGAATAACAATTGCATACATATAAATACTTATATACATGTATAATGCATATAATATAATATAATGTATTTTTATATTCAGGTTAATATTTAATAAGAGCAAACTCTGTAAGTAATAAATTATGCATCTTCCAAATCCTTGACATTTAAAAATTTTACATTTTTTATTTCCTTCTATGCATTCAAAAAAAACCCTGAGATTATTATTTGAAAGTTCTTTTGCCATTTTTACCAACAAAATTGAATTTAATTCCACGAATTGCGAGCAGTATATGCCGTTTTCATGAATGGTATTTTACATATTTAAATACATTTGCATCTCACGCTCTTAACAAATAAAAAAAAAACATGTTGGAAGCTTTTCTGTATAGATAATGTTAATTTTTTTAGCTCTTTTTGTTAGCTTACTCTTAAAATGTACATCCAATTTTTGACAGAAAAAAATCTTGGCCAAGCATTGTAGCCATCATTTACGGCAGCTAAATGAGCATTATACAACACCTTGGTGTATGATTTGTTTATTTATTTATTTTATTTTTTTACTCTATTGTAATTACGTATCGCATACTTATTTAATACTTGTGACACGCAAAGACTGATTCATTATACGCTCTACAGTAATAGTAAACAAAATACCAGGCAGAGCCATCCCATTTTTCAACCAGAATACTCTTAGCGAAAAATTCACACCATTAAATCGGAAAATTAACAACTAATGATTTTGTGTTTTTATTGCTTCACAATTAAAATTTCCGAATTCTCACTTTACCACTTACAATTTTAAACTCTTTTACATTCAATAAGTTGATAAATTTGTATTAATATTAAAAGAAAATAAAATGTTTACTCAATTTTGTAAGACTTAAAAAAAAAATATTACAATTTATATATAATGTTAATGTATATTACTTACATTAAATGCTGTGCAAAGTCTCAAAGTTAAACCTACACTCTTAAATTAAAAACAAAAAATGTAAACTTTAAAAAGTTTAAAATATACTTGAATCTGGCAAAACTTTACTTATATGTATGTGCTATGTATTTAACACTAACACAACACTTGCCACTGTAACTCATCTTAAGCTCTTCTTTTCTCATTTATGTAAGATTCAATCTTGTAAAACTTTTTAATTTACAAAAACCACAAAAGCTAAACAAGTAAGGTTTGCTTTGGCTTATTTATATAAATAAATAAATATATACATGGATATTATCACTTAATGTTTTTATGTACTAAACAGCATATATGTAAAGTTTTCTCTTCCACCTTTGTAATTTAAATATATATAAAATATAATATTGAGCAGCTAATATGTTACCTCCGCGGAAAAATACTACAAAATTTACTCATACTATAAGCAGACAATGTACCCGCAATAATTTAAAGTTTGCGTCTTATTACTCTTTTTTATAAAAATGCATATAAAATAAGATATCCATAAAGAGGCTGATGAATGTTTATAAAGTCAAGTAGCCGCAGCTTTTTGATCATATCAGAATGACATGTATTTATTGTTCACATTTTTAAAATATCTTTTTAGTTAAATTTTTCATATTCAGCTAAAATAATCTTAAATAGCTCGAAATACACAATATGAAATTAAAACATACACTGTATATATGTATGTAGTTATAAACAAAAAAAAAAAAAAAGAGTCATTGAAAGCGTCTTACATGCGTGAACATCATATGTGTAGGTCAAATGAAATATATAGTTAGATAAATTTGAATTATGTGACAGCGATACCAAATTATTTCAGCAATTTACAATTTACAATTTACTTACAGCATACAAAATCTCGTAAACCTTTTTTACTCTGCTCACCATAATAAAAAAATATCAACAATTATAATAGATAATCTACTCATTCATCAGGTTATACAGCTTCATATGAATGAAATGAAATGAATTGCGCTATATTCTATTTACAATTTTTCTAATACAATGTTTTCAAGATTGGTAAATATTGATCCCTTTTTCTATTAATAAATGCGCGCTACATCTGAAAATATTGCAAGCTATATACGTACATACATATTTTCATATATACAAATTGATATAGAAAATGCGCCAGATATTTAAATCTCTACACATTACAAAATTATAAAGGCAATACACATATGTCTATGGTATTACGTTTTTAAAACGATAAACAAGGATCTTAATATTTGAATAAAGTTGAAAAAAAAAGTTTTTGAATATATTGGCTTTAGCCTGTGTTAATCGACTTATATGTCTTACTCTATAAAATATATATCAAACAAATTATCAATTGTACTACTATTGTATTATTATTCTAAACTACTTTTTCTGCTCTGTAGTATTTGTATAATTTATACTATGAGTCAATGAAATAAAGCTGTACTTTCGAATCTTCAAATTGTGACGCGCAAAAACGAATATTAATATAAATCAACCTTAAAGTCATACATACCAATGCATTTTACTTATATTATTAGACTACGAATTGAAATTAAAGCAATGCCTCTGTCGTTTTGAATTACATGCTTATGTATGTAAATACATATGTGAACGATTTAGGGTTCGAATGATATTACCTGAGTAAACCCTCTTGTACCTGCATTTATTTTTTCCTTCTTTAACTCCAGCCCAAAATTATTCCCATCGACATATGTGTTTTCTGATAGTAGTGAGTGGTGTTGTCTAACAAATGTAAATAAAATTTTCAATAACAATGCTAGACTTGCAATATTTTCAAGAGAGTTTCATCAGAATCCGATCATAGCTTCGAATAAAGTACCCAGGCATCTGGCTTTATGCTTTGGAAAGGGCAATACGGACAAATTTTTTGCACGAAGCTATGAAATTTTTTAGATATAATAATAATAAAGCACCCAGGCAAATGGCTTAATGCTTTAAAAAGGGCAATACGGACGAATTTTTTCATAGTCGAGCAGTCTCGACTAGAGCCTTCTTACTCTTTTCCACTGTTTCTTTTTCGAACAGAACACTCATGTCTGTGATTATGTATAAATAATCACACTCCAAACCGTTATAAGCTATAAATCTAATAAATCAAATATTTTATGCGTCTTTTTGCCTTTTTTTTTATAAACCAGCATATATAATAAGATATCCAAAAAGAGGCCGAATGTGTACAAAGTGGAATTGCTGCACTTTTCGGATCATATTAGAATCGTTTGTATATATTGCTAACATTTTTGAGAATGCACTCAGATGTCTTATCAGTTTGTACTTTTGATGTAGGCAATTGCGATAAAAACAATAAATATTTGCGCTCTCCGTTGCTGCCATTTTCTCTTTTTCTCAGCCATGTGCTCTGTCTCTCTCTCTCTTCTTGTCTGTCATACGCTTGCTCTCTTTTCAATTTGTCCGCTCTCTTTGTTCTCTCTCTCGGAGACTCACTTTATCAACTCTGGTAAAACTAATTTTCACGGGTACACTGTTTATGCGGCTAACCATCCTTCTAACAGGCGAACAGGGTATGTGGCAGTAATCATTAAAATTAACATCCGGCACTACACTCAGTGGTGAGGTAACAGACGACCTGTATTTGAAACTTATTACACAAGGCAAATCTAAACATATTAGCTACCGGATCTCCTACTTACTTCCCTTTTAGCCCTCGACACTCGCAATCCACCATTGATTTTGCTATATATAAAGGTATTCGTCGTGAACTTCTTCATTTTTTTTTTTTTTTTTTTTTTTTTTTTTTTTTTTT